ATATATATATACATCCTGACATATCCTGACCATTGTCCGTCCTGACTGTTGTGGAGCTCTTGGTGAAATGCGCCATTGCCCGCGACGCACGAGTTTATCCCACCCTCTGGACTTACCATGGTGTTGGGTTTTTCCTTCAAGCACCGGGTGATCTGTGGTAGTATTCTTGGTGAGTAGTCACCATGATGCCATGATCCATATCCGGTACTGCCCTGCTGGTCATGAAGTTCAACATCCTTCAACTACTGCAGTCCACCGCCGAGTCTCTTCGATCTAGGCCGCCCAAGCTCTTCCCCAGTCTTGGAGCAAAGCACCAGCCCCTCAGTGGAGTGTCATGTTCGCACACCGCTCACACCAACCAAAACGGGCCGGAAAAGTGGTCAAGTGTCACCCAAACCTGTGAGCAGTATACGTACCATGTGATGAAGTAACTAATGATGAAGTATGCCAATGCGTATCTCACAGCAAGTTCTTGGGACGAGAACGGTATGAGCGGTAGGTCCTGACAGTGCCTCGCAGTAGTGGAACAGAAGTCCATTTGTTCTTGAGGGCGGCACCCCCGTTGTTGCAAAAACCGTGGTCTTCTTCATCCTAGATTTGTTCGTCTCGCCACTTTTTTCATTGTCTTTCCCTCCGCCAACCATTTTCAACAAAGCTCAGGTCACGTCGTCCACGTATTAAAGGTCTCGGGTCAATGACCTGGCTTCAGACTAGGAGAAAACACCAAAACAACACCCACACCATTGGTCGAAAATGAACAAGTCGGCCAGTTGGCCACCATCTGCCGTTCTGTTTCATTCCTTGCCACCATAGCCATGGGTGAAATTGTCTCACCCCAAACGGACGCAGCCTCTGCACAGTGCTGTACGAACCGGGCCGCTCTGAGTACCAAACGAAATCATGCATCTCTTGACCCTTCAGCGCTTTCTGGAGGATCTGCTGCATCCTCTCCCTGCCAAGCGTGCCGGAGATGATCGGATATATGTTGCTCTTGGAGTTGGGCGATTCAATGGCTCATTTTTGGAGAATGATGCAAAGTCTTCTCATTCTTCTTCATGCGCACGAATGACAACCCGTATGCTGCGTCAACCTAGGGTCTGGTTTGGGGGCTTCCTACTGGCAACCACCCGACCGTGGATACTTCGAAACTAGTCATCAATCGTGCGATATCACCGCAGCTCCTGTCTGACTTGGCAATGAAGTCTTGCACAAAGGGCATGCCTTGCACTTCCTGCGTGACGACAGACTGCTGGCGGATTTCCCAGTAGAAGGCAGGTGGTATAGAAATTCAGGAGGTGGATTTCCCAATCGGCCTCCCAACATGTCTTTGAAAACAAAGGACTCCACATTTCACTGTCGACCATCTCTAACCGCTTCCCAACATGACTTGTCCGGCCCTTCAGTTTCCCACCGTTGTCACCAGGCAGTGTTTGAGGCAAACGCGGAGACCTCCAAAAAACAGCTCATGCCTTGATCCTCTATGACAAGAACCCCCTGTGCAAAACACTAACTAACATCGACCAAAATAAGGGCCGTGTCATGAAGTTGGCACTGTTTGGATACAGTCTATAAATAAGCCGATGATCCACTCCCCATACAGTAAATAAAGGCACGGATGAACAGTTCAACGCAACTTTGACACCGGATCATGGTTTCCGGAAACATTCTACATACTGCCATATATATATATAATCATCCTGAAGTACATAGAATTTCGGTACAACTCAATCCCGCGGCACTGAAAACAAATACATGGAATATCGGGGTCCCAAAAGCATCTTCAGGATGGTTATATCAAAACGCCCGCGTGCCTCGAATCGAAACACCCGCGCGCGCGGGAGCTCCAATTCATTCCACAGACCATTCCACGATATTCCAAGTACTCGTTTGATCCGCTTGGGGATATTCTATGTACTATTTTTTGGGGATCAAAACGAGGAATATGGATTTGAAATGACGGAAGGTAAGTTGGCGACTCAATTCCGTATTCTATCTACTCAAGGATGGTTATATATATATATACTGCCTATTGAAATGATTGAACGATCCAAATCACACGCAAAGTATTTCACTGACCACGTGTCCCATTCTGACCGATCGGGTCGCCGCATCATTTTGCTCGCTCCAAAGGGGCTGCAATTGACGGAGCCGTGTCCTGGCTGTCACCATCCTTCGCAACCGCGCTTGCACTCCCAGAGACAATCATGGAAGTGGAACGTGGACCTGTCTAAAGGCCATGCCTCATACCAAACAGAGGATTCTCTAGGGGGTCTTGGTCAGCTTCCATGATTGTTGGAAGGAGGGTATCGTTCTGAATCTGTGGAATTCCGTGGGGAAGGGGAAACATACAAACAGCCCAAATGCAAATCGCTCACAAAACGAGGTGTGAACGGTCATAGTGGCCATGCTCTCTTTTAGTTCTTGTTGGGAGCCACAAGAATAACGTATATCTAATGGCGGACCTTGGTGGGTGGGCCATGCTTTTAAATTGAGGATTTCTGCTGCAAGTCACCCTGCATTGACATTGTACCCTGTCAGTCTTCGAAAACCTCTGGCGCCGAACTCCTCAATCACGCGTGGAACGAAGATTCTTTGGAGGATATGTGTAATCAATGTGTCCAATGCCTGGCTGTCACAGTGATTCAAATACATTTCATGTAGACAAAAGAGTGGAACATCTCAACCAAAGGCAGGTTGTTAGCTCCACGCATGTGTTCCCATTGGTTTGGCTGTCTCCCGGGTGCGATTTGTTTTCCTTGAAGAGAGTGGCTACTGCTGACGACATCTCCTAAAGGATCTCTTGGCGCACTTGCTTCCCCCCCAAAGTCACTCCCTCGGGATCCACATACCTTCTCAGAAGGTACTTGGGCCCAAGCCTGAATAAATGTATATCTATATGTATCTCCCAACTGCCCTCTCAAAGGCCAGTCGATCCACCGGGACGCATGAAACAGCTTAACACACGCCCACGACCCATCATGGCCCACATGGGTGTCCGCGCCCCTTGGGGGATGAGAATGAGATAGTCATCCGGCCGTCTTGGGCGGTCCGGCCTCCACATTCACAATGCGGCGGTGACTTTCATCAAATGAAACCACCAAACAGGGATCACTAATCTTTTGCCGGAAGGGTTTTAATTGTAAATGAAGTGCTGAGGGCAGTTGGACTTTCATGCCTGCCTTGTGAGGGTCAGCTGGTCAGCTTAGTGGATTCATGGCAGGGAAGCATTGACTGGAGCCTGACTGAATGGTTGGCTTCAAATCCAAGTAGGATACGGTAGTAATTATAGGCCGCGGCGTCTAGTGGCACAAGTTCCGCCGTCATCACTGCAAGGTGTTCTAGATGCCCGTAAAAAAGACTCAAGTTCAACCCCACGTGATCAGTTCGACGCTGACTACGACGCTTTCGGCCCCTTTCTTCAGCACTGGACGGACTGCGGTCAGTCGAAATGCGCCAGCAGCCCCGGTCGGCGGTCGCACGGAAGCTGAGGCCTCAGGCTTTCGGGTAGAGGTGGTGGGCTCTGGCCTTGACATAGCGCACCTCTGGCAAAAGGTCCTGGCAACGATGTCAGCTGCAAATCTGCAAATCAAACACTGCAAATCTGCTGAAGGCAAGTGATTTGTCAAAGGGAGCAAGTCATATAGGATCATATAGGATCTTGATAGCGCTTAGCTGCCGTTCCACCAAAGAAGCCACCACCCAAATTCCCTCAACTGAGGTGTTATTAACTCGTTTTGACTGCCGGGAGGTGCAAACAAAACTCCGGAAAAAATAACACAGCCACAAGCAATCACAAGTAGCAGTAAACATTGAAATCATTGAACTATGTTACACCGGAGGACATCATCACGGAACGGAACACACGTTTCGACATATTTTGACATGGAACTCGTTTTGCCGCCAAGTCCTGGGGAATTGGCTTAGCAACTTTTTGGGTTGGCAAATGTTGGCCGGCAGGGTTTGAGACACCCTGCAAATTGAACATGGAACATGTTTCACGCCCGCACTACTTCCTCAAATGGTCTCTTGATCATCCTTGTTTGAGGCTCACAAAACTAACATAGAACGGGGGAGGGCATCCATAATTCTAGGGGCAATTGGTCCACGTTAAATTTTGGCCGGGCTGATACCAGGGCAACACACAGTTATCAACTGGTGGTTTGGCCGCTGGACGAATTTAAATGTGGAACATGCAAACATTAAATGCACTTTGCACCCTGTCACTGACATAATGGAACTGAATCGGACAATTTTGTTCTATCTCATCGAGATGATTTTTCGGTGGAATATATTATAGCATGTACAGTCGTATATATAATTCCTTGGTATATCTTTGTTGGGTTGATTATCAAAACGGCAACAACATTACATACCCAGGTATAGGTCCTTAGGCGCCTGGAGGCCTACTGCCACACACTCAGGCCTTCAGCTGCAGCTTGGTCTCAGGGGCGGGCCACCACAGGGGCGCGGTCGCCGGCAGCCTTGGTGGTCGACTCGTGAAGGCTTGGCAGACTGGACTGGCTCAATTGGAGGATGGCAACTCGGACGAGGATGGACTAAGGGTTGTTGGTTCAACCAGTGTTCGGGAGCCTGCCAAAAAAGAAGATTTGCCGCTGATGGGAGGTAGATGGAGGTAGCATGGCAACAAGACAATTAGGGAGCACAAACCGCTAGAACGTCATGCTCAACCTTTTGTTTGCTTTGTCATGGCAAGGCTCCCTATCCCCATTTCAACTTGTTCAATTTTTCAGTTGAACCAATGACTCTAAATGCACATGCTCAGTTCGGCTAGGTTGTTTCCATGTGCTGTCATATCTGAAGCAATACGCTACGACACGACGCGACGACGCTGGCTTCGAGTGCTGTCACCACGTCGACGAATGAAACACCCATGTGCGGCAGTCAAAGCACGCCGGTGATTCTGCTGCCACACAGTCCAACAAATAACCGCAATATCCCCCTTACTCTTAAGTCTATCTTTGCCGGCCAGGCAATGGAAAGTTGATTTTAACTATGTTTTCGTTTAGATCTTCATTTAGACCATCATGTTTTGTACAAAATATTTGTGTTATGTTCATTTCTTTTGGGATTATCATTTTTTTTGCGTCATGTTCATCCTTCCAGAACTGGTTGGCTTTGCTGTCACTTCCCATGGGCTTCCAAAATCACTTCGGTCACAGTCAGTGCCCCAAACTATATGGATGCGTGAAGGGATTCCCTCACTCATCCCTTCCCGAGCAATCGAAACCAAGGATCAAATCGTGGAATGCAACTTGCAAGAAGCTGAGCTAAACCACTGGGCCCCAAAAGCCTGAGCCTAGTGGCCTAGTGGCCTAGAAATTTGTCATACAGGGATGGGAAGTAAAACAGGTTAGTGAAGAGACAGCCCTGAATGAACACTAAAATTACACACGAAATTGTCAGAAACAATATAAACAATCATGACCCAAATGAAGACCAAAATGACACATGAAAAGAACATGATTAACCAAATGAAAACCAACATGACAATTGAAAGAAATGATGAACCAAATGAACACCAAAATGACACATGAAAAACAAAAAACATGATGAAACAAATGAACACCGAAACTAGCCAAAACGAAAAACACAAACGGATGAAAATTGCAATTGTTGAGCGAACAATTTTGTTTTACTGTACATTGTTTGTGTTCGTTTTGTTTTTGCTTTTCATTTATTTTTGCTTGTTCTATTTGTTTTTTCGTTTGTTTTGGCTAGTTTCCGCCACAAATCAACGATAGTCAGGTCCATTTCTAAAAGCTAAAGCAAAATAGAAGGAAATGTGTGACCCACCAGCAAAGAGGGTTCAGGACTCCAGGACTAGCTCACTTGGCCGCCTTTCCTTCAGGGGAGGCAATTGCAATTGAGCTCCAGCATTCTTTTGTCTTTCATGATCGTTTTGGCTATTCCACTATATGTTGGATTGGATCATGTTCATGCCGGTGCACTGAACTCATCTTGCCCAAGGTGCTCCACCGGTGGCTCCTCCGAAAGCACCGGCGGCTTTGGGGGCTTGGGATGACGCCAGCGCCGCTCCTGCAATTGCCGAAGTATCTTACCCTGACGCATTGACATGGAAGAACATGAAGAATGAAAGTCGACTTCCAGGGGAGCATGTTCAAACCATGTGAGTGTCGATTCTACGCTGAGCGATCGTCTTGCAGTGCTTCACAAACTCGACTCGACTCGCAGCCGTGCTAGGGCGATCAAGCATTGATCACTGTGCATGAATGATTTACATTAAGTCTTGTGCATGTGGCAATCCATCCTCTTTTGGTTACATAAATCGCATCACATGGTATCCTCTTTCCTTCTCTGCATCTCCTCATGAGGATCGGGCAGCTACCGAACCAATCGAATGAGGTGTTTGATGCAACATTTACCCGAGCAGCATCCACATACCTCCTGGGGATGGTGGTCTGATTCAGGTGGGGCCAGGTGTCAGTCCAGGGAATGGCCAAAGAAAGTGCTTTGTAGGTGCACTCCGGCCCACATGGTCCTGGTATATATAGTGGTAGTGGTGGAACAAGAAATCTTTAAAACAATCCTCTACAGGTGGAAATCACTTGCATATTGGTGAGTCGGAGTGTATCCCAAGTAACCTTCCTGGCCATCGATCTGCTCCTGCTTCTCTTGCGCCAAAGCCTTTCGAAGGAAGGCCGACTCCTGCCGCGCCTCAGGCAACACCGGGGAAACCATGCTGACTTCTCTGGCTTCTTCACGGAAGGAAGCGCATGGGAGGTCAAATTCATGAAACACGTGCAGCTGGCAACTCGACCGTGGTTAAGTGGTCCCCGGGGCAGGTGAACACGACTGTGCTTTCCGGCGGCTGGAACGACTGCGTGGCCGATGTGTCGAGTAATTGTTTGCAGCTGAAGTTACATGCAACTCATGTCGGTGGATAGGTGGCTCTGACCGAAACATGCTTTTCTTTGTTGTCTTAAACATGTTTTTCACATGTTTTGGTGAACATCCAGACCTGTGTTGGTGGCTCAAACTCCCAGTCATAGGGTGATGGTATAGAACGTTCAACAGTGTGCGCCCGGCGCTCGTCCGAACGTGCGGTCGAACGGAGCCTCCAACATACGGTCATTGTGCTCCTTTTTGAGGCTCTCATGCCTTGAAGACAAGCGAGGTGGCCCATGGGAAAATACAATCCAGTCCGGACAGTACAGGATTCCAAAAAGGACAACCCCCAGTCTGACATATGAATTCCTGAGTATCCAGAAGTATCCGGATGTTTAACCGTGATCCTTCTCAATTTGATTTCTTTGACACTCTGACGGACAAACATAACGAGCAGTGGGTGACACCTTCCTTATCGTTCCTTATTCTGAGATCAGGGATGAAAGCATGCGCGGGAGCCAGGCCAGCCGAACTCACAACGAAGCGATGTTCAAACCCATGGCGTTTCACACGCTAACCGTGACAGATTCACCACATTTCATGGCTTCTCTCTTCACTCCGGTCGTCACAGCAACTCGAGCTATGGATGGCCAGAATGGCAGGTCTGTGAGGATAAAAGGAAGTGGACCACCCCCTGTTTGTAAAGGAGAATGGCCTGTCCAGGGGCCATTTTCCACTTTCATGATTGGAGAGAGGGTACAAACTTTAGCAAGCTGGCTCACATGGCTTTGGCAACATTTGGCCGTGCAGCCAAGCAGCTGCCTACGTTCTTGCACCAGCTCCCATCGCAAGGCCTGCAATCATGGCTTGGTGCCCCTCCCAGAACATGGAGGCCAAATGAGGAAAACTCTGTCATTGGGTTAACCCCAACTGAGAATCAGTGACCTTGGCCCTCGCAGTGGTTGGATTTGGGTTCTAACCAGGAATTTGAAACATTTTGAAACGACTGTTTTTGCGATTGATGTGTTCAGGAAGCCGGAGAGTTCATGTCTTGTCCTTCTCAGCTGGAATAAATTGCCTCAATTTGGATCACTAGGGCCGTATCCCAAAGGTTCTGTTCTTTGAAGTTGGGGGCCGTTGAAGGCAGCAACTGGAGCAACTGGACACATTTAGAAGAGTGGGTCAACATCGGGCAGGATGATGGGCATCCCAGAAGCAACCCCTGTTCTTCGTTTGAGCAACCCCTCGTAGCAGTCGAACGCACTGGCATCTGCATAACTCTACAGCTCCGGGACCTTATATACCTTTTTTTGAGGCAATGCAGCGGCATCTGGGTGCTTGGAGAGAATACACTACGGATCCTACGGTCCTACGCACAAGCCTACTCCTAGCCTACGCCATGCAAAGGTGGCCTGCGCGAGAGCCTAAGTGGGGCCTACGCGGGGATGCCTACGCGAGCAAATGGCAACCCCATGCAAACAATTCTATATGTATGTGCCTCCGCTTTCAGCCTACGCAGCATTTAAAGGAATTCCGAAATTCCCTCTTATCTTCTGTCCATCGTCTCACCCCCAAAAAAATATACTACTCAGCTACTCGTCTGAACAATCGCATGTTTGACCTAAGGCAGTTGATGCTCCTACAAGCAATTGGAAGATTCACTCCCACACAAAGCACCTGGAAAAAAACTTACAAGATTCTAGCTAGCGGCTAGCGGCTAAAGCCTCCAACACGCATTTATTGACCAACGACTGCTCGTGTGTTCAGTACCAGCTGAGCTGGGAGTCCACTAACCTGAGCCGCTTTCTAAGCTCGCCTCTACCTTTGCTGAACGGGATGCAGAAAAATCGCCGTGTTTTGTCGTTTCGGTCGCCTCTTGCTGCGTCAAGCTGTTGGCCAAAGCGGCTTCAAGCTGCTCTTGGCTTGCGTTGCTGAAGCTCAGCTTGGACTGGTAGAAGGACTCCAGCTGCTCACAGTCCTGGCGATGTTCGGGCTTCCTTGGAGAAGGTTCATGAAGTTCGGGAGTGAAAGCGCTCCGTCAAAGCATCTTAACATGTGTGCCACAATGGCCCGTTTTAGAGGAGTTTTGTCGTTCGGTGACACACATTTGGTTGATGGCTTTATTCTGGAACAGGTCTGAGAGAATTGAATCAAACATGTTTTGCCCCAGGCGTCCGCACCTTGCATTGCAAATGAACTTGCTCTAGTCCGCCTTGCTCCTGACGAAAGATCAGAGGTCAAAGGGACGCTGTCGACGGCCTGGACGATGGGATCTTCTGGAGAGGGAAGTCCCTGAGCGCATGAGACGCCATAGATACCTAGAACACGACCTAGAGCCTCTTCTCGGGCAGAAATTTCTGCCTACTTTAGTGATGAGCTACATTTGCTTATCAGGAAATCACTTGACGTTTCTCTTTTGCATGTTTTTATTTTTTCTATGCTTTGCTGTTTCTTGTTTTATGGTATCATGTTGCGTAAGTGTTCTTGCCCGTTACAGTAAGTAGGCGTTCGTTACAACCCGTTCCCCCTCGTTCGGCCCGCCACAGGGGGACGACGAGTGACATGAGTTTCAAAACGCTTGAAGCCAGGCACTATAGCATCAGCTGGCTGACATACGCGTGTTTCTCAAAAGCGTGTGTTTTTCTCACATGATCCATGTTTGCGATGGTGCCTCGGCGGCAGCTTGGACCCGGCTGCAGCTTGGAAGTTGGGATCCGGTTCGGTCTGGAGGATCCGGTGGTTTAAAGCATCTTAAGCAACACGTTTTTTGGGGGGCATTGATCTCATTTTGCCATGTATTGCAGGTGTCGTAGCAATAGGGAATTGAGGTGATTCCGAAAAACGCATAGTTGACGATGTCCTCTTGGCTGCTGCAAACCCCGTGCAAAGGTCAAGCAGCGCCCATCGAAGGTCTTGGGTGGACTCAACGTGTTCAGTAACTGATTTGATTCTATATACATATACCCCCAAAAAGGCGTCTTACCTGCTCTACTCTTCCAATAAATTGATGCAAGTGTCAAAAGATGTCAAGAGTCAAAACAAGATTTTAAAAACAAAAAAACAACCAAAAGACGCCAGCACCAAGTCTTGGGAATCTGTGTCATTGATCCAGCACCGTGGACCCTCGGAACAAGTCGACTAAACGGGCGAACGGTCTACCCCGTACCCGCCCATCTCCGATCGACCCCAACACCTCAATGTGGCTTCGCAAGCTCACCACGATCTGTTGGAGTTCGAGTAACTGCTCCTGGGAGGCCTGGTGGCTGACATGTGGCGACATGAGACCTGGTGGACATCCCGTTCGTACACCCTCTCTTTCATTGATGAACTTTGGGGGGGATCCTCAATACACTCTCTGGAACTAACTTGGAAGTGGAAAACACCCTGTTCGTAGAGAAAAGAAAGGTCTTCCAAGTAAGGGGCCATTTTCCATCCACGTAACCATGTTCGTTCCAGGGAACGTATGTGTTCGTTCCAGGGAACGCTTTTTTGCTGCCCCTTCTTTGGGGGGGGGCGGTTCAATGAACCGCCAGAAGTGTGGAACACAACTGTGCCCTCAAATTCGCCGCTGTCATGGTGAAGCAGTTGGAAACTACAATGCACAAGACAGCTTGAACCATGTCTTATGTCAAAAGCTTCTCTTTTTGGCAGTTTGATGTAGTTTCCTCGTTTCCGGCATTCACACTTTCAAAATCCCGGTTGATGTTCAGCTGGAGGGGTAACGGTCCTTATTTGGACTATTTCTCTATGTGCTACTAACTGATATCCACGAACATCCGTTTCTTTACAAACCCCTAAAAATTTGGGAGCCATTTTGTAGAGAGAGGGACCTGGAAGATTATGGAGCTACAAAATGGAATGCACTGCACAAATGGGAACCCAATCACTGAACATGAATCCCTTTCACTACAAAATGGTTACACCCAAGCCTGATTGCAACACACAAAATGTTGGTGCTCAACCTCACAAAGCACTGTCCACTACAAAATGATCATTTTGTAGGTGGGTTAACCGTGCATTCTATAGGCTTATATAACATCATCGAGGATCTTCCAACCAACACGGACAATCTCAAACTGGCGCAAAATTCTTGAATGACGCCTCATGAATCACTCAACGACTCAACCCCCCAGCAGCTTGGATGAATGACAAAGGTATGCTTACATGCCTCATCGAGCAAGTCAAACATTCCGAAGATCGGCGCACTTAAGATCCCAGTCTTGACTGAAGAACCCCCGGCAGGATGATCAAGCATCAAACAACTGGCTTTGGTAGATTTGGTAGGTAGAGATGTTGATCATCCTGTGTGAGAATCAACACAATTCCTCCACCTGACAACCCTGACACTTTTCTCAGCGCCGGTGGGTCACGTTCCACACCGCCCGAGTGCCTTGAGTTCCTTCTCCTTCAGCTCGAGGCAGTCGCGGGTGCGTCGCAGCTCGCCCTCGGAGGCAAGGAGATCCACGTGGGTGCCCACGTGCTCCTGGGCGGCGCTCGAGCGAAGCGAATCAGTGATTTTGAAATGCCAAGCACACACTCTGACACTTGTATTCAGTGACTCAATTTCCACGATGGGAAGGAAGGCGATGGAACCGCAAGGTGCATGGGTCGGCCAAAACAGTATTGTTTAAATTTGTTTCCTCAGGTGCAAGTCTGCAGTTGGCGGCTGGCTGCAAATCACGATCGGCTGAAACGTGCAGCGGAAAAATCCGTTGTTTGGGGGAAGGTAGCATGAAGAAGGACCATGAAAACAACGAACAGCGGCAGGGTGGACCAGTAGAGTCAGTGTGTTGAAAGCAGGTACGTCAGTTCCGCGTCCGGAACTGATATCCTCACCATGTAGTGCCAGCTTCGTTGATGGAGAAGCAATACAGGTGTCTCCATCCCCTGCCTGTAGAGGGTGGTTGAAAAAGGTTGTTGAAAACCTGTGGAAGGACAAGTAGAAAAGGTTGGTGGTGAGACAGTCGGACGAAACCCTTTGTCCAGGGGTGGACACACACAGGTCGCCGGCTTCGGCGCTTTTTCGGCGCGCATGTGAGGAAACTAAATAGTCACCTAAAAAGCCTTGGAAACAAAAGGAAAGAAAGACAGAAAGAGCAGCGCTAAGAGGGGAAGAAAGAAAGATAGGGGTAGTTACGAGGCCCACTAGTTACAAAACCTTCTAGTTACTGACTACCTAGCACTCTAGTTACTGAATACCTAGCCCTTGACTTGAGGGAACGGAAAGAAGTGCTGGGTCCGATCAACAGAAGGTTTCAACAAGAATTAGTTACTGACTACTTAGCAGGTCTTAATTAGGTGCAATAGTTAGGGAGCGGGACTTTAGTCTTAGACCGCCCGGGTAGGAAAGACTAGAAAGGAACAACACAGGGAAAGGCACCGACACACAAGTGTGTCGAGTACCATTTCCCTATGTTGCCCCAAATAGGTAGGGAGTAGAACTCAGCCGGGGGGGGGGGGGTGGGGGGAACCTGCCTCATTGGGGGTTTAGCAATGCACCGTTTTATAGCCCGGCGGCTGTCGAGGGACTCCCGTGTTTGGGCCCGGCGGCCAATGCATCTGTTGATTCAAAGGTTGTGTCAATGACTTCCAGTGGAAAACCGGTGAGAGGTGGCATGTTGGGTTGGTTGCTTTCCGATGTAAAAACGGCGCCCCTGTGACGGGGATCACACTCAGCACCCGAGTGGGACGGCTGAGCGAAACACACTCTGACACTTGTATTCAGTGACTCAATTTCCACGATGGGAAGGAAGGCGATGGAACCGCAAGGTGCATGGGTCGGCCAAAACAGTATTGTTTAAATTTGTTTCCTCAGGTGCAAGTCTGCAGTTGGCGGCTGGCTGCAAATCACGATCGGCTGAAACGTGCAGCGGAAAAATCCGTTGTTTGGGGGAAGGTAGCATGAAGAAGGACCATGAAAACAACGAACAGCGGCAGGGTGGACCAGTAGAGTCAGTGTGTTGAAAGCAGGTACGTCAGTTCCGCGTCCGGAACTGATATCCTCACCATGTATTGCCAGCTTCGTTGATGGAGAAGCAATACAGGTGTCTCCATCCCCTGCCTGTAGAGGGTGGTTGAAAAAGGTTGTTGAAAACCTGTGGAAGGACAAGTAGAAAAGGTTGGTGGTGAGACAGTCGGACGAAACCCTTTGTCCAGGGGTGGACACACACACACACATGCCAGCCAGGAGCCGACTCTACAGGTCTCCGAAACGGTGGCTTTGCAGGGAGATGCTAGTGTAGTCTGAAAAAGTATATATATACAGTATATTAATTGTATAATAATGTAATAATGTATATCTTGGCAGTGATCCAAATCATTACTTTCCTCGACTGTGACATTTGAGTTTTGGGTGGTCTGTCAAGGGTCTGGGCAACTCTTGCTTACTTGGAGAGTCCTTGACAGTGGCAATGTCTGCGATGGTGCTGAACGTGGGAGGGTGCTTAACTATCACACGAGTACCGAGCAGCAGCAGCATCTACATTTACAGGATTTGTTTGGATTTGTTTAGGAACCTATTGGCTATATTGGGCATGGCCATGGTCGGGCCCCCCTGCTCTGCATTACAGGCCAATTGCACCAGGCAAACCAGCACCGATGTTGTGAAATCCTCACGGGACAGTCGACCGGAATATATAGTCCGTGGCTATCTGTGGCGAGCAAAGCACCCAGATGCACCCAGCAATGTGATTCATCCATGCTCTTCGACAGTGGAGCGCCCGAAGTTCTTTTGCCTGGAAAATTCTAGATGGAGAAATGATAATTTGAGCAATGACAAGTCGGTCAATGGTAGGGCAATCCAGCTGGTTAGGAAGTAAAATGGTTTGTATATTGATTTATTAAAAGAATGCATGTGCTGATTAAAAATGATAAACCTTCATATTCACCCCCAAGAACATTTCAGCATCTCACCAAGCCATGAATCTTCACTCCAACCTCCACTCACTTCCCCAGACCGTCAATGGGACCCAGGCACCTCCTCGTGCAGTGCCCGCAACAACTCCTTCCGAAGCTCCACCTGTCAGACTTCATAACGACCCCGCCCGTTCTGAGATGTCATACTCAACGGTTGGGGGGCCATTGCTACTGGGGTGGAGGCCAATGCTACTAGGGTGGAGGCCATCGCTTCTAGGGTGGAGGCCATCGCTACTAGGGTACTTATGTTGGTGCTTTAAGGGCGGACCCCCTGGCCCAATGGGTTTTGTACTATTCTGGATTATGCTGGTCTATTTCCCGAACCGTCCAGGGGGTCGAACTGGGAGGTCTCCCTAGTTTAATTAATGCAAAGGCACTTAGATCTTGTGATCTTCCAGCTATGCAAAAGTGTCTGCCTTGTGGGCGGTTTGATAAATGAAAAAGGCGCACAATTTGCACAGCTGGAAGATCTAAGTACAGTAGGAGTAATTGCTCCATACATTACACCTGATAGATTTTTACCTATCCTCACCATGAAACAATGAACCTGAAGACATAGACCCTCAACCTGCAACCCCCAGCACAACACACGTGTCTTCTGTTTGTCCACCGCGGGTCCACCCGCGAAGCTTGCCACCGGCTCTTCGGCGACAGGACTCTTCACATCGGCTCCCATGTTCCAAACAGTACGGGATGCGGAATTTGACTTGGTGCCTTACTACTAGGAACAATGTTCGCTACTAGTAACAAGTGCATC